TGCTGTCTTCCCAGCAGCCGAGTGTCCCAGGGAAGCAGGTGACCATGCAGGGAGGCTGTAGGAGGTGGCACAGCTCACATGGTCCCCAGGGAAAACTCTTTGTTCAATTCATCGACATGAAAATCTACCTTGAATGGAAGTGTTTTTAAGCAGGAGCATTTGCAGTGTAACACAAAGAGAAGATTCACCCAAGCCAAGGATTCACCTTGGCTTTGTTTTGGAAAATGGACTAGGGAATGGACATGAGGTTGGAGATGCATTAGTATAACCTTTCTAGTTTCTTCATCCTCTTTAAAGCACATAGTTGGAAATACAATGTAAGCATCCTCTTCAGTGGAAACATACCATTTCAGGAATCACAGGTGACAAAAAAGACTAGACCAGAAAGAAAGATACTTTTCATACTTGCACAGTTGCTAAGGATCTAGCAGTGATAAAGTTTGAAAACCACTTCTATTGTGTCAGTCATCTATGCCTTACTGTGAAAAAAAGATTTCCAGGTTTTTATGAATTGATTCTTACACTGTCTGCCTTCACCTCTGCTTACTTCTCAGAATGTTACTGATCCATCAAGTCTCCTTGCTGACACTCATCTTCTGACATGACAGCTTGCCTTTTCCATCCTCCCCTCTCCCAGCTCCTTGCCCCACTGAATGCAAGGACCCACAGAGTATCTCTAATGGAGAAAAAGCATGTGAGGTGTTACTGCTCTGAATAGCTCTGTCCTTCAGGGTGAGAGGGTAAGCGCAGAAAGGGACTGAACCCAGAGCCCTGGGATAACATAGGAGACTATAAACTTCAGAAACAGGTCATGGTCTGGTTTGCCATCAGATCAGCAAGAGCATTTCTATGTTTATTTGAATTTAGGTGTTCTCCAGATAGTTTGAATCTAATTAGTTCAATAGAGTAGTGGTGATGTACTGTTATAGAAGGAATCACCAATACAGCTTGTTTTCCTTGTGAACAGTATAATATCTAGTCTTTGCAGAGATTGTTCCTAGACTCTGTAACAACAACCTACATAATCTCTCATCCAAAAATGCTGCAAGGATAACAGTTTTTGAAGTTCATTGATTTCCCCTTCTTAACTGAAGTTAACATGCTACTCATATTAACTTCCCAAAGCCCAGTGTGTCTGGAGAGCTGCACTGCAAGCAAAGGCTCTTGTGCAGTGCTGGTGCCTGAAAACCCCATAACTGCTGTGAAATAGCAGTAGGGTTCAGCCAGTGAGAACACAGAAAAAAAAAAGAAAATCTGGTGTGGATCTAATTGGGGAAAAAATATCACATAGGGAAATCAGAATTGGGTAGACTCTTGCCTGTTTCATATATTGAAGTGTTTGGTGACTAATGCAAGATTTACAGATGGGATATCAGTAAGAACATGGAAAACTGGTCTGCGGTATTCCAAGATGCCTACAAGTATAGATGTAGAAGAGACTTAAAGTGACTTTCTAGTCCTCTCTCTGTACTGCTAAAGTATCTGTGGATGCTGACAGTCTGATCTGAGGTTATTTTCCACTGTTAGCTGTAGTGAGCAAGCTACAGCTTGAAGAAAATTTACTTTCTCACACACTGAGAGCTTGAGCTTTGAGGATAGAATGATAAACACCTGATAAGCACTCTGCATCTTGGCCTTGGTGAATGTTTGGGTTCAGGGACCAATGAATGTACCGTAGCAACTTAGTAGCCAATAAACCTATAACACGAATGTCAATAATCCAATGGATCTATAAAAGATGCCTACTGTAATAAAGTTGGTGCTATTCCTCCACCTTCTGACATTGGAGTCTACGTGTCATCTGGACTGCCTCTACAGCAACAAGTATCAGGTATGCTTATCTTCTCCTTGCCAGATTTCTCCTTAAATTTCCCTGCAGCCTGCCTAAGTAGCATTCTCCAGTTTAGATTGACCTGCAACAATAGGCTGTAGTAATTCTTGCTTTTGTCTTAGGTATGATCCTCCCGTCACTCTAATCCTTTTTTTTTTCCCCAGGACTTTTGCCATGTTAGCCCTTGCTGAGTGTGATTCCTCAGGTCTTCTCATGCCAACTGCTGCTTGACTGGTTTGCCTCCATTGAGTACTTGTGCCTTCCAGTTCTCTTCTCTAAATGTAGCATTTTACACTCACCTTTACTGAACCTCATGTTTGCCAGAATTCTTGTCAACTTCATATAATGTTTTGAAGTGTTTCCCCATTTTCCCCAGTACTTTCAGCCCTCTGTTCTGATCCTCAGACTTAAAAGTCAGTCATATGTGACACAGGTATTAGTCTGTCCACCAGTGTTAAGAACAATGTTGAACACTACCAGGACTCAACACTAAAGGATATTGCTTCAGTTGTCCTCCCAATTTTGCTGTCATCATGTACACACAGTTTGACCATGAGCATACCATTGCAACTAAGTTCATAACAGCCATGTAAATAAGTGGATATTCCTGAGAGTGTTGTTGCTGTTGACCCTGCTTCTTTCTTGATGCCTTTTGTCTGTGATGAAAGAGTTGATTGCTTGAGGGTACAAAGGCTCTACAGGGGGCTCTGGACAGGCTGGATCCAACAAGGAGGTCCAACAAGGCCAAGTGCCAGGTCCCGCACGTGGGTCACAACAACCCCATGCAGTGCTGCAGGCTTGGGGAAGAGTGGCTGGAAAGCTGCCTGGCAGAAAAGTATTTAGGGGTGTTGGTCAACAGACACTTGAATATGAGCCAGCAGTGTGCCCAGGTGGCCAAGAACACCAATGGTATCCTGGCTTGTATCAGAAATAGTGTGGTCGGCAGGACCAGGGAAGTGATTGTCCCCCTGTACACAACACTGGCGAGGTCCTGCGTGGAGTACTGTGTTCAGTACTGGGCACCTCAATACAAGAAAGACATTGAGGTGCTGTGGTATGCCCAAAGAAGAGAAAACAAACATGGTGAAGGATCTAGAGAACAAGTCTTATGAGGAGTGCCTGAGGGAACTGGGGTTGTTAGCCTGGAGAAAAAGAGGCTGAAGGGAGACTTTATCACTCTCTACAGCTATCTGAAAGGAGGCTGTAGTGAGGTTGGGGTAGGCCTCTTTTCCCATGTAACAAGTGACAGGAGAAGAGAAAATGGCCTCAAGTTACACAGGGCAGGTTTATATTGTATATTAGGAAATATTTCTCCATTGCAAGCATTAACAAGCATTGGAACAGTCTGCCCAGGGAAGTGGTGGAGTCATCATCCCTGGAGGTGTTTAAAAAACGCGTAGATGTGGCACTTAAGGACATGGTTTAGTAGTGGACTTGGCAATGTTAGGTTTCTGGTTGGACTTGATCTTAAAGATCTTTTCCAAACTCAATGATTCTATGATTCTATAACTCAGCACTTTTCAGTCCACACCTGGAGTACTGCATCCAGTTGTGGTCACCACAATTCAAGAAAGACACAGGCAGACTGGAGTGGGTCTAAAGGAGGATCACAAACATAAGAAGGCTCAGGGAGGACCTCATCATAGTATTCCAATACTTAAAGGGCTGCTACAGAGGACAGGGGGTCTTTATTCACAGGGAGCCACATGGAGAAGAGAAAGGGCAGTGGGTACTGGGAGAGGTTTCATCTCCATGTTAGAATTTCTTTACAGTGAGAACAATCATTCACTGGAACAACCACCCCAGGGATGTGGTAGAGTCCTTATGACTGGAGGTTTTCAAAATTAAATAATGTCACCTACACACCCTTTCCCATGAAAGGCTGGGCCAGATGATCTTTGGAGGTCCCTTCTCACCTGAGCTATTCTATAAAAGCAGTGCATCTGAGTGAACCCTGCCTGTCACACCAGCCTGTAATCTGAAATATTGAATCCTTGAAATTCTGCATTCAGAGAGTTTAAGATCCCTAAGAATGCTGATCCCCATTTCCCTTTATTCTCTTTTCTTTAGCTTTGATCCAGTGTGTGCTGAAGTCAGGGGGAAGATATCCTTTGTCATTAATTAAGGTTGTGTCTGATCCATGTTTTTGCTAGTGATTTTTCCTGTGAAGATGTTGATTGACTTGAAACATTTCTGGGGAAAAAAAAAATTCTACATACTAAACCATAAGTTGTCTAGAAAGACTGAGTGTAGCTAGAAAAAGAAATGGGGCATTGCCTTCCAGGTCACAGCTACTGAAACAGGTCTGTTAAGTTTATCTATGGTTAGTTGCCCTCTTATTCAGCAAATGAGAGTACCCAAAGCAAGCCAAAGAGGACACCTTTAATACAAAAGTCTACTGTTCATCATTGTCACCATAAAGACCACTGCAATGTGATTATTACAGTAATTCTAAGATGTGTGGATCATTTGATATAGTTTTTTTTGTATACAGCATTCAGATAATCTGAAAGTGCATTGGAAAACTCTTGCTCTAACCACATTTCATTACTTTTCAGGCTTTACAGTACATTTCATACTTCAACTTTGTTCCCAGTTTAGTTCCTCCCATACGTTCTTCAAATGCTTTGTCCATAATCTTATTCTGGTCTTCACTGAAAAGATTCTTCCAGTCACTTACACCACCTTCAAAGAAGCAAGAGAAACTCTTGAGAAACAAGAGAAGTTATTATTTTTTTATTCTATAGATCTGTCATCCCTGTTCCATTGTACTATAAAGAGAATTGATCCATTTTTCAAGATAAAACTTCACTCATTTTTGCACCAGTGTAATTTTGTAAAGTCATTGGAACTACAGATCTGTGAAACTGCTATAATGCAAAATAATGTACTTCTCAGGTGACTGTGTCCAAAAAAGCAGCCTGAAGTCTTGTTTCCCTTCAGCTCTCCACTCCAGTCAGTTATGACCAGCAAAGCAGAAGATCATGAAGGCTTCATTAGGAATCATCTGGCAGGAAGCAGAGCTGGGTTTCTGCTCCCTTGCCACCTTGAGGTTTTATCCAGTGATTTTAATGTAAAATGGAGGAACAGGTTCTGACAGCCAGGTTAGCCCTCTCATGTCTGTCTCCTACACTACACAACAAAAGTTGTTCTCTTTTGTTTCCTCTTCTCTACAGATCTGATTCTTGCATGCTTGGCTTGCTTCTAACCTGTGATTGTGAACAGGGCATTAGCAGGAGACTTTCAGGAGATCCTACACTCTCCTAAAAGGTATGATTATGCCACTCAGGCTGAGTATGGCTCAGTTAAGCCTCTGAAGAGTCAGTGTTCTTGGCACAGAGATAGAGACAAGTTCAGACATATGACAGCTTTTCCCTCCTGCCTCTAAAATTTGCTCTGAGTGGTTGCTTCTCCTGTGCTGCCTGCAGCCTGCTGCCAGAGCCTTGCTGGATATCTCCCTCACCAGGGCTCCTTGACTAGTCTTCTCAAGCATAACAGTGATAATCTGCTTGATACTAATCTGTCATGTTAATATGTGTGCATATTAAAGAACAAAAGCAAAGGATGGGCTGCCCAAGCTCTTGAGAGTGTGACACTTCTAACTCTGGACTTCTTGGAGCTTCCTACCTTTGCGAAAGAGAATATTGCCAAACGCCCCATGGGTCTTCTGTGAGTTCTTCTTCATTGACTGGAAACTGCTCCTCTCTACCACGTTCTGAAGCTCTTTTTCAGTCAGGGAAATCCCAAAGAATGCAGCTATATTTTTCACACCCAGGACTGGATTCTGAAAAGAGGAACGTAACAAACAACATGGCATTTGACCAAATTACACTGCTTTCTGAGGTGTTTGCACCTCCCTACATCTCTCTGCTGCCTATATAGAGACAATATTTATAGGGTTCAGTAGGACTGGAGTGGTACATAGTGTTTTGCTTCTGTACATTTATTTCAGAGGACATATGAGCTGTCTTCCTACAGATCACAAAAGCTTGTACATGATTGAGCTGAGCAAAATCTCCACTGCTGAATATATAAAAGCTGCCTTCATAAAATTACTGGAGAGTTTGATATAAAGTGATTTGGGCTTATATCACAGCTAAAGAGAAAACAAGAATCACTTTCACAAATAAAATTTTTAAAAGGCTTTAAAATTTCAATTTCGCCTTTCCTTCCCTTGGAAAAAAGAAAAAAAAAGTCTCTCTCATACAGTATATAACACAGTTTGAATACACTACATGAATACCATGGTCAATTGTTCTAGGACCAAATGCTCTTGGAAGTATGCAATATTTATAACTATTGGTAACCTCACCTCTTTTAGCTCTTCATAAGTTATTGTCATAACATTTTCATCATCAGCATATTTGTTCCATGCAGTAAGGTATTCAAAGTAGCATCCCCAGGGCACTAAATAAAGCAAAAGACTCCTAAGATGAAGCATAAATGAAGATTAGACAAGCTCCTTATGGAATAAACCAATTTTACTCCTTAAGTTTATCCCTCAGCCATCAGCATTATTAATCATGTCTATGCTGAAGTTTACACCCTTCTGTGGGAATTAGGGGGTTTGGCTCCAGTCTGCTTTGACATGTGTATGTCTCAGACATATGACACAATTTGTAAGGTGGTATGGTAAACTTGTATCTGAAGACAGATGTGAGTCCATCAAAGACCTATCAGTCTATCTGGCAGACTACCTTAATCCAGTTAAAGCCTTTTTTAACCTTTTTCTCTGCTGGCTATGTGATACACAGTTTTAAACTAGTGGGATTGTCTTTCTTTTTTAGTGCAGCAGACATAGTCCAAATCATTCCTGTGGTTCAATTTGGCATGTAGACTTCTATGTGGATATAAGATGATGGACATTGGAGAGAAGGGTAAAGGGCATCTAGGAGAGAGAGAGATAAGCAGGAATTTCTTCTTTAAGAGAAAATATCCTTTTGTGCAAGTTAAACCTGTTTCTGGAACTACAGTTTTGATAAGATTTGTCCTCAGGCAGGAAGACAAGTACTATAAACTTTAGTTCAAATTTCTAACTTTTTGTCTTTAATCTCTGCTTTTGTACTGCAAACCAAAAAATTCTAGTGAAGCTAATTTACAAAGGGCAAGGTTTTTAGACAAAGTCAAAGCACTGAACAATTGACACAGACAGAAGAATATACTGTACTTTTCTTTGACATGAAAGCTACGAAGAAATCATCCCAGGTCTCATAGGAGGGAAGAGGAGACATGACATTGGAAAAATGATAAAAAGATACAGCTACATCTTTGGGATTGCGAATCAGCAACAAAATCTAGGAAAAAAAAATATTTTATTTGTAGAGAAAGACATAGACTATAGTATAAAGAAAACAATCTACTTTATAATTGCAATTTGGGGAGTTTCTAATATCTTGTATACTACTCGCATAAGTAGTAATTTCATTCTAAATTCTGAAGTTGAAGTATTTCACTTTGCTTCAGTACCTTGTGAAGATGACTGCCTCCAATTATTAAAATATCTTCTACAGATTAACCAAGTTATGCAGAATCTAAATATGTTTTGTTCAATACAAGCATCTTTCCTCATGTAGATAGTGGGGGGAAATTACAAAAATATGTATTATTTCTGAAACCTGACACACAGAAGCCAAAATACATTTTACTGCTGGAGGAATTGTTCCACAACCCCATCTCATTTGTGAAGCCTGGCAGCAAGGTGTCAATAAAGATAAACTGAGATTAAGTGAGATGGGTGGCAGTACTTAAACAGGCACGTAGAAATGGCCAGGCTAAACGCTTAAGTACAACAGTGATTCTGAAAATTGGCAGAAAAGTACTAAACTGGCTTTTAAAAAGTCTTTTGGAGTGTTTGCTTTCAGGACATTGAAATCAGGACTCACCTTGGCTTTATTTTTGAAGATGGACTGGGGAAGATTTTCAGGCAGGAGATGAGTACATATAAGTCTTGGAGAAGGTAATTTTTTCATTCGCTTGAAGAATTGGAAGGAGGAAAGTGGATAGTTCAGTTAGTACACATTCTTTTCATCAGCCTATGAAAAATAATGCCTTGCTAAACTTATCAACAGTTATTGGCTGATAAAAGGACTTATTTTTTGTGAGTATTATCATGGGATCTTAGTGGACTGCTCTGAGTAGCTCTAACCTTCAACAGCCCCCGAGAATGAGTGACTGGAAAAAGATTATCTGTTCCCAATTCTCTTCAGCAGTAATGAATTTAAAATGTTCAGTCAGACAAGGAAGCAAATCTAAACACAAGGTGCAGACTCTAACTGTGGCTATAAGAAAGCTGAAGGATCTTGAGGAGAGAGAAAAGGAGCGATAAGGAAGAGCTTAATAAGAGAGGCAATAAAAATGTATTTCAGTATTTGACATTTCATTAAACTCTTCTTAAATAGAAAGAGTGCTACACTGAATTTCTGCAATCTCTAACGAGTATGTACTCCTCTCATGACCTCTGAAGTGGCCATTTCATTTATCCATCAGCATTTGGCAATTTGGAAATTCATTCTGACCAGATGCCACATACAGAGAAGTGGGGAAGTTGTTATCAAACAGTGGAATATTTCACACACCATATATTCAGTATTTGAAACAAAATTTTGAAAACTTTCACACATATTCTGTGCCCACCTCGTATTTCCCAGTATCTCCAAGTTCAAGGTAGGGAAATTCTTCTAGCTCTTCATTATTCACACTGCTTGCTTCATTCTGTGTTTTCTTTTCAAATATGGCTACCAGATCACCTAAGATTTGACCTACCCAGTTTGTGCCTGAAAGGGAAAAAATACAGAATTGTTTGTAAAACTCTTAGAATGAACAGAAATGGATTTGTCAAGAAAGCTAAGAGGTAGATATTACTACCAGTTGAGTTGCCTGGTCTCCTTTCATGTGATACAATCACAGCTGACTACCTGGACAATCAGGGTCTTATCTTTGTTCTTTATAAGGATACATTTCTCCAAATTCAGTACATTGTAAATTTACTTGTATGTTGTAAACCAACTAATAAAGGAAAAGAACCACCAGGATTCAAATAGGAAAACGTATTAATCTAATAAATTTTTATTGTGCAACATAAGGGGAACTGGGGTGGTAAACCTGTACCTCAAAATCTAGTATATTTTATATATTTTCTGATGTGCTGCACAGGATTATCTTGGGAGGAAAGATTGGTCACAGAACTTCAACACAGGAGCAGAACTAGATCTGGAAATTGTGCTGTATCTGCTCATTTTCTTTGCCAATAGGCAAAAATATTTTCCTATTTACATTTATTATATTCTTATTCAAAACATAAAAAAAAAAAGCATGCAGAGAACTTTTTAGTTCACCATTCCCTGGCTTCTGAGTACAGGGTTCCCACCTCTCTGTCACTACAATCTTAATAACTGCATTCTGGTGCATACCATTTCTTAAAAAAAAATGATAAAAAAGTGAAAACTTTACAGTCCTGCCAACTGTGACTATCTACTGTAAGACAGTGTGAGTCAAATTGCTGGAGGAAAGAGCTACTTTAAAATAGATATGAGACATACCTGTAGCTCTGATAGGAGCAAAGATGCAGAGTAAATTCACAGGACTAGCAAAGTTCCCTTAATTTCCCAGTAGTCAAATATCAGCATGATCACTTCGAGTGTTAAAAAAATAATTTTTTGATAGTTATGGATTTCAGATATTCTTGGCATAAACATGAAGGTGCCAAAAGCTCCACTCTATGTAAAAATATAAAGCTATTAACTTTACAAGTATAAATATGAGAGCAGATCCTGCAATATCAGGAGATACAGTGATCTCTGGTGTGAGACCTGTATTTTAATTCTGTCTAATTTGTGCGTTTAACTTCATAACTATAAAAAGTAAAGATAACAAAAATATTTACTTGCTGTGGAAAATCATGTCTTTTTCTCTGTAATTTGAAAAATTCCCTGCATAAAATCTTAATTAAGTTAGTTGTGCTTTTTGAGAACAAAAGTAGCTCTACAAAATTTTGTGAACATTCTATTATTTAGTATAATATTATTATATTAT